GTTTTAATTTTTTCTGTAATTTTTTTCCTAAATCTGCCGTAAAAACGAATATTTAAAAAAATATCGAAATCGTATGATTTTTCGATTTTCTATAGCCAAAAAACGAGGGGACCGCAATGGTATAACGGAGTGGGGAGCGTGAGGTTTTTTTCGTTACGGAATTTCTGGATACGGTCCCCGCACTCAAGGCCCGCGATAGAAGCTATGCAATAGCTTAAAAACCTCACGCTCTCTACTCCGACGGGCACGGAGATGTGGCGTTGAAAGCCGTGCATCGTCTAACGTCGTTTCAGTTCGGCAGACTTCGGCACTCGGCAGACTTCGGCACGGTGTATGTGTGCGTGCGACTAGACGTATGCGTGTACACTAGCTGCTAACTCAATGATAAAAATTCCTGAATAACCTACACGTATTGTAAGATATTAAAAATATTTTAAACAATAGTAACTTCTCATTTATCCAATAAGAGAGAAAAAAATTGTTTTCTTATTGGTCATCACGCTCAAAAAGTGTAACTTGATTTAATATCAAAGACTTAACTGCATAAATAAAATAAATAAATAATTATAATTGCATAAGTTGATAAAAAAAATGCTATGCAATAGCTTTACCGCGGCAGTCACCGAGTGCCACACGTATTTTTTATAACAATATATTTTATTTTTGAAAGAACATATACTTAATCATAGTATCATCACATATAATAGATAGTTTAGAGAATATGTAAAAAAAATACACCAAATATTAATAAGGGTGTGTTCCATAGCCAAGTCCTTTTTCATTTATGAAATGGTGATGATTTATTTATAAACTAAACTGTTGCGAATACTTAGAAAGGCACTAATCTGAATAAAAACAATCAGTTAGTCGGCCAATCCGACAAACAAAACGAACGAACAAATAAACGGACCCACAAACGAACCAAGAAACGAATAGGGCAAACTGCACGCTTATGTTTTATTTTGTAAAAACAACAAAATGACCGCAATAACGTAATCCCTAATTTGCTCCCGAATTTCTCTAGCTAGTGCTTAGTTTCCATACATAGAGATTTCCCTAAATAATCAAGCACCATCACCAATTATTGATTTTATATAAGAAATTTGAAATGAAAACTACAATCCAATGCCACGTAAAACTATGTACTTACACTAACAAAATTAATGTACTGAGTCGGTCATCCTCTAAAATATTTTTTAATAAAATAATAAAAATGTAGCACCCTTATTTCACCCTTTTAAATCGAATATTCCAAAATTATTTCATAGCGGATTTCTACGTCGTAAAAGGTAGGCTACCTACTGTCCAATTTTAGATTTCTACTTCAAGTAGTTTAGGTTGAGCTTATGCGCTGGTAGATGAGTTAGTCAATCAGTATAGTATATGATCTATGACTCAGTACAGAAAAAGTATAAAGTAGATATATATTGAACAATAGCATCTGTCGGCATAGTAAAAACAGAATAGTAGGCTATCTTCTAAGAAGTGTACCGAACGCCGCTAATGCACGAGCCACTGCACGCACACAACAACACTGCTAAGTCGGGAAGATCGGGCAGAGTCGGGAACGCCCATCGCCGCGCTCCGCAATCACCTTTGTTTGAGACTTTGCTGGCTTTCAATAAAATATTGTTGGCGGTCTTTTTTTCGTTTTATTTTGTCTTTTTGTAAAATAAATTAATATCTGCGTTTGTTTAAGTTAATTAGTTATTATTAATAGGTTATATTACTATACCTATACAGAGACACATACCTCATGAGCACATTAATTATCATATCACATCAGATCAAATTAATTTTAAACATTCAATCTAAGCTGATACCAGTGTTGTGTTGTGTAGTACTCAGTGTTAATTTATTCGTATTTTAGTTATTTGACATTTGTTGTAACATAAAGCTAGAATTATTTTTGACAAACATTGATTCTTTGAGCGGAAACTAAAGAAATGATTAACAAATATGATGCATAGGTATGTGTCCGTATGTATTATGTTTGTAAATATTATAACTACATACTTATAAAAATAAATGAGACTAAGCTGTTAAACAAAAAGACTGACAACCCTGCAACAGTAGACTTGAGTAGTGCGGGTGTTATCCTACTATTCTGTTTTTACTAAGCGTTCGGGGAATGGCAAAACTAACATAACGGCAAACTAAATATTATTCTGTATATTTTAATAATGTCCAATATAAATGGAATTTTATAAACGTTATTTGCAAACTAAATAAAAAAAACTTCTGATATAAGAATTTTGTCTAATTTTAAGTACCTTATAACTTGCAAGACCCGCCGCAGAAGAACACAAAAACTCTCCGATCACACTTTTAATCTCATGACTGTTAGACGGGCGATGAGGCTGCAATCGTCAACAGATTTGACATCATACAAGCAACTGAACAGAAAGATCTCCAAATGCATGCGGCGAGACTTACGAAATTTTAATACTGCTCGTATTGAAGAAGCGGTCAAGTGGAACCAGGGCTCCAAAGTCTTTGCCAGAGATCTGTCTGCCAGAAAGAGCCAATTGTCAAAGCTGAAAACTGAGTGTGGCAGCATCGTTTCCGGGACACCTGAGATTTTGAGTGAGATTGAGAGGTTCTATGGATAGCTGTACACATTATCGTTGGAGCCACACGCAAGTGTGAGTTAAGATCCAAGAGCAAGTCTTATCCGACACTATTCCAATGATATCCCAGACATCAGTCTGAGCAAGATTAGAATGGCTCTCCAGCTATTTAAAAACGGAAAGTCCCCAGGCGAGGATTGAATTACAGCGGAGCTTCTGAAAGCGGGTGGAACACCGGTACTTAAAGTCCTTCAGAAGCTCTTCAATTTCGTCCTCCATGTTGACACTACTCCGGAGGTTGGAGCAGAAGTGCGGTGGTCTTGTTCTTTAAGAAAGGCGATAACGCTCTCTTGAAGAACTACAGACAGATTTCCCTTCTGAGCCGCGTCTTTGTGCTGTTTTCGAGAGTCATTACGAATCGTCTCGCACGCAGACTCGACGACTTCTAGCCTCCCGAACAAGCCGGTTTCCGAAAAGGCTTCAGTACCATAGACCACATACATACCCTGCGGCAGATTGTACAGAAGACCGAAGAGTACAATCTGCCACTTTGCCTGGCGTATGTGGACTATGAGAAAGCCTTTGATTCCGTCGAAATTTGGGCGGTGCTGCAGTCCCTTCAGCGGTGTCAAGTTGACTGTCGGTATATCTAAGTGCTGAAGTGTTTGTACAGTAGGGTTACGATGGCTATCCAAGTACAGAATCAGAGCTCGAAACCTATCCAACTGCAGAGAGGTGTAAGACAGGGTGATGTTATATCCCCGAAACTCTTCACCGCAGCATTGAAGACGTTCAAGCTACTGGACTGGATAGGATACGGTATTAACATCAAAGCGAGTACATCAGTCATCTTCGATTCGCCGACGATATAATCCTTATGGCAGAATCGCTGGAGGACTTAAGCACTATGCTCAATGACCTCAATTGTGTCTCCCAACGGACAGGTCTTGAGATGAACATGGACAAAACAAAGATCATGTTTAATGTCCATATCACACCTATGCCAGTAGTTGTTGGGAGCACTATGCTCGAAGTTGTTGACGAGTACGTTTACCTGGGACAAATAGTTCGTCTAGGTAAGTCCAACTTCGACCGAGAGGTCACTCGACGGATTCAACTCGGCTGGGCAGCGTTCGGGAAATTACGACACATCTTCTCGTCAGGTATACCTCAAAATCTAAGAACTAGATTGCTTTGTGGCATTACTTGGGGGAGGCCTATGTTCAGCAGTGGATTTGTGAAGGGCTGTAATGATGATGATGATGATGTTCAGCAGTAGATTTGTGACGGGTTGTTATGAAAATCAAAATAAAATTATTTAAAAATATTTATTTTATATAATCCAAATTTACGGCTCGCTGGGCGTCGTGAAACTTATCTTGCTCACTTCAAATTTAAATTCTGTTCTACCCTTGCGTTCAGTGCTTGACAAATAAGCCGTGAATCAAAATATATCTCAGATATTATGTGTTTATGGTTTGTTTGTCCAACACATTTGATCTAAACTATCAAATTATTTGTCAAACATGTAAAATTTGTCAAATTGTTACGAGCTGACAAAAAAGAAGAATCGACTATTTACGTAACCCACTGATCCACATTTTATATTGTCGAATATTAATAGCATCATTCGTACATTACTATTATTATTTTAAAATTATAAGCGATACCTACTAACTTCAACGAATTGATACAAAAGCCGATTGAATTTAAAACATTTTTCAGAATAATTCTAAAATATAATGAAGAATAAAGGTCAGGAAAACTTCTATATTAACGCGTACATGAAAAATTTATTATAATTAATTAACCATACGTTTAAAGTGATTACGTACTTTATTGTCATTTTAAATATATGTACATATAATTTAACAACTATGCAATTAAAATAATATGTTTTGATGTAAATTATTTTCCACATAATATATATTTAATATATATTTAATATATATTTACTATTTAGAATTGAGTAAGGCGCCCGAAACTACGTAGGACCATTATTTAATCTGTGCCGAAACATCATGAAATAAAAAAGTTTTTTGGATGTGTTTGCGTAAGTATATGAAATGATTTTCCAGAAATCGCTTTAGAATCGTTCGAATACTCTACTGGCTGCATAGACAATGTCAATTCAATTTTCCATTTACATTTTACAGCTGGCTGGTAGATATTACACAGTTAATGCAGATAAAAAATAACATTGATTCTTAGAATAAAGGTTGCCGTGTTTAATAATAAAATACGCATAACGGAACGTAAGCGTTGGAAGTTCCGCACGCTGCCGCGGGAAGCGCTTGTGCGCCAGTCTTCTTGCAGCAGGCGTGTGGCCGGCTGCTTGTTGCAGTGTGCGGTGCGAACTAATACACTCGAGTTCGCGGTCATAGGCTCGAACGAACATCGAATTCGACGGTCAGTGTGGTGACCATGATGATGGATAACGGGGTGATGACAAATAACTATGACGGGGGGTACACGGATGGGTATATGGAGCAGGAAGAGGAGTGGGAGCGTGAGGGTCTTCTAGACCCGGCATGGGAGAAGCAACAGAAAAAGGTCAGTTTGATCGCTAAGTTGACAAACCAATTGATGAGTGATCGAATACTTTGCACGTTACAGACTTTTCGCATTCATATTCCGATAAAAAAATTTAAGACAATATTAACCTTATCGCAGTCGTGACTCACGTTTCAAAACATTTTTGCGACGTATCAAAATACTACAAATTACAAACCGAATTCGGCATTAATATACTGTAATTGTCTGTATATTTCTAGTAAAAACTATATTAAGTGATTTATAATATATAATAAAATGTTAATTTAAATTAGTTATTAATTTAATTCATATAAAAGTCGGAATACATATTATAACTGAACCGAAAATAATTCAAAAAGTTTATCGCGAAAATCTCTTTTTGTATATTTATATAAACTATTGTATAAGAATACCGTAGTGTTCTGTTTTTATTTTTATTTTTTAATATTACGCCTGGAACCCCGCGAATTTACGATAATTTAAATTCGATAGTATTGCACATTTCCCGCCGCAAATTGAAAGTAGATCGCGGCCGTGGACACTATTAAAAGATTTCTTGGAGCTTTATGAGTGAGCGAGACGGGAACACGCTATATCCAACGGGAGTGAGCGGGTCAGAGAGAGAGGAGTCGAATTTCCGTTAGTCATGTCCTAAAATGGGTCCAGCGCAGGCGCCGCTGAAAGCGCGGGCGTCCGTCTACGTCACAGCAGAACCCGTATTTCAGGAAATTCGGTAGATTAAGCATCTTATGTCAACGTCAGATGCATTATAATAATGTGTCACCTGCATGTTGTGACGAATACGGTGACGCACTCTATAAGCTGGATCCCAGTGAAATGTCATCAACAAATTACAAAACCTTTGCGGATGCTAGACTTTGTAGAATAGTATATACTTACCTACATAGATTATGATCACAAATATTTGTTACTAACTTTAAAATCAAATTAAAATATTATTAAAATTATAATGAAAACTCGTAAGTAATTCAACTAAGTACATGTAACTTTTGCGTAGAAAAAGAAATCGTTTATACAGAGGTTTCACTTGACGTCTTTTATACAAAACCAATAGGTGTGTATAATAAAGATGTCCCAAGTCATGATATGACTATAAAAAACGATACTTCTAGAAATATATGAAAATAAAATTACGTACAAAAAATAACTATTGCAAATCAAAACATACATTACACAGATACCGACATTTTATTTTCATTATTTGAAATGGTTTAAACAAAGTTTATTTTATACCAACTATTTATACGTTAAATTAAAATTGGCTTTATATTTATACAACTAATTTTAATTCGTATAAACTTACGCTTGCTTTAAATACAATCTACGCAACAAAAATGCAATACGTAATAATTAGGTTCCATGTGGCTGTGTGCCGTGTTCTATCGCTCGAAATCTCGAAGGATACAAACTCAATATAAACAAAGAGCCTGCGACACAGTGCATTGCCCGATCGTGTACGGCGGGTCAATGTCGCGGTCGCTTTGAGGTGCGTCTGCGTGAAGAAGTCAACCAACCAGTCATACTAGCACACCATTCGCCTGGAGTGCCTTCCGTAAGGGGGTCAGTAGCACAAGCGGTCCAACCAGAGTGCTGACCCTTTATGAGGAGAGGAAAAATATATACTGTTTTAATAATACACAGGTCACGCCTTTATTAAAGTTAGTTAAGTTCTAGATTCAATCCAGAAAAGACTTCAATTTATGTCATAGGCAACTTTTGAAAAAAAATCATTAAAATAATAATAAATATGAAAAATGAATTAAAGAAATATTTTGAGCAGGTACTGCCGTAAATAAACATAGGTACAAAAAGCTACTGACGGCGTTAGAAACTACCCGTGAAAGTGAAGAGGAACGCAGAACGGGTTTGTAACTTGACAATTTATATTTAATATAGATACAAAGTATCTCGTATACAAACATAAAAATATCGACTTCAAGGAATCTATTAGCATTTTTAGATATACATTTTATTTAAACGTTGAATATTGTGTATCCACAAGTAGGGAATCTATGTTACTATTAAAGTATTCTCAACACTATAAAAAGAAAAATAGACGGGACGGGAGATGATCTGTTTACAAAGAAAGAAAAAGAGCAAATTGATATACATTAAAGGAAATCTCAAGTCTCCTTATATTTACTTAATGATTTTTTAAAAGGCGTATCTAGCTTTATACGTGATTAAAGATAACAAAAAAGGACATATATAATATACCCCAATGGACTTTTAGTTGTTTCCATGACCCTCGAATACAACCTGACGGAACTAACCACACGAAACACCGTTATCATTATAAATAACAAGGCTTTCAAGAGTATTAATTACTCACCACATTGAACATCGAGCATAATGATTATATATATACAAGAAAGGCCAAGGATAGTCCTTTTGCAGCCACACCCAATATTTTGATTCATCAAAGCATAACCACATGTTTTTATTTGACTTACACTTACTGCTAACCTAATTTAACGTGACAAATTAACTAAAATTGGGCAAACCGAAACAAATTAAATTAAACATGTTATTAGCTCTAAACTGTATACTTATACCTAATCATCGATTTAATTTGATTCGATTCGATTTAATTTCGAATCGTTCAAGCGCTATTTATGATATATTATCCATTACAGTCTAACGTTCATGTTTTTTAACTAGACATTTTTTAACAAGAAACATATAGAAAATAGTATAATAATAATTTGTGTTAATTTATTTAATTTTCGAGCTAAAATATTTAACATCCATCAACCACTTTTACTTTGACGTGACGCATTTTTAAGTGATTTGCATATTTATGAGCAAACGCAAAAAATATAAAGACTAATTTTATAAGAAAATATATACAAATAAGAAGGTAGAAAGATACCAATGTATAACTGATATTAAAATTAAATTACAGGAAAAGCTCATTAAAACTACCACATACAAGCTTGTTCAAATTATGTCGACGCGATATCGGTTACGTAACATTTGACACGGCTATTTTTTTCCTAGCCGCTGTCAGCTAACTTTGGCATCGATTCAAAAACTGGCTTTAGCAGGCGAGTTATGTTTTACTCGTATAAACTTTCGATTAATAAATTCTTATTCATTATAAAAATTGCATTGGATAAAAATCTCAGAAATTATTTTTCAAATAAATCTAGTAATGTATTGACATTATTACTATTTCAATTAAAATTCAACACTCCAACTAAGACGACAGTAAACGATTAGCGTATAGTGTCTCTGACTTTTTACCCTTAACTATAAGATTAGATACAGTCGGTTATTATAAAAAGGTGTTTAGAAAATAATTTCATTAGATTCAATATTTATTTAAATCTAGCTTCGCACGGGTGTTTTCTTTATCTTTGCAACAGCGCCACCTACCAGGTACAATCTAAGGACCCATTTAACACACACACAGACGCGTGTGCGCGCACACACACTAGCACATTGCGAGCGCGTGCTCGAGCATTCGACCTGTGCCTCGAGTTCGCCAAGCGCGCCGCGCCCTTCAACAACTGGTCGGTGCCCTTCCGCCACTGCATCACCATACACACACGACGCACGCACGCACACACACACACACACACACACACACACACACACACACACACACACACACACACTCGCGCGCGCGCGCACGCACGCACGCACGCACGCACGCACGCACGCACGCACGCACGCACGCACACACACACATCACAATCGGCCGAGCCGTTTGAGTTTTAGCAAGACTAATGGACAGCGATTGATATTTATACATAGAGAATAAAAAACAATATTATAATCTTTAAATTATACTTTTTGTTGAAGTAAGGGTGACAAACCAAAATACAGTTTTCCTCTGGTAAGTAGTTGCTTTGTGTGCCCATGGACACCCATGTCCTCGTCACATGAGTAAAGATCCCTCCCTACCTTACTCTGTGTCTCAATTAAACTGAGGACTAAGATGGACTGCCTCGTAACTAGTAAAGGTTACTGGTTTACTGAACTCAATATTACATTATTTGTTATTCAATATTACCCAACTGGTTACAATATATGGGTAATAAGTTGTAGCAGTAATGACCCAATTATATTGTAAACAATGTAATCCAAAAAACTTATTACTAGGGCCAATAATCGGTCCGAACCTTCTCTCAATCAAGAAATATGTTCAACACAAAATCGCCATGGGCTTTTGAGACTAAAAAACGCAAATTATTTGAGCGTTACGTTTATAAAATTATCTATAATAAATAATCGATTAAAATTTATATACATCTAAAGGTATGGACATGAAAAAAAATCAGTCTCATACTCACTCAAGTAACAGATCACCGCACCATAAATATTTACTTAGGGGTATGCATCACTCTCAAAGGTACTCTGTGCTACCGCATATAGCTAACGTTGATGTCTTCTTCATATGCATATGCACATGGAGGTTTCGGGCCTCGGGGTAAGCCCCCATTACCCGTGCTGTCCTCGCGGTCCACCACTATGGACCGGTCCTGGGAGCCTTCTATTGGCATTGTAGGTGTCAAAAATACGGATTGTCCGTAATCGGTAAAATTTTTCGTAGCCGGTTAAGACTACGAAAAAAGAAGGTTATCCAGTAAAGTCAAGGTTGGCCTTTCAGCGGCATTGAGGGTTGTTACTCGACTCTCTAATCGATATAGAGAGGAGTTCTCTTGGATAGGGTCGCCCGTCCGGAGGGCGAGTGTGTAGCGGCGCAAAGTTGTTAAGATGTATATGCGGCCCGTTGTCTGCACGGTCGAACAGTCCGCGCGCCAACCGGGCCACAAATTCCTGTATGGTGTCGATCTTCAGGTTGGCCGCTATGACGTCATTCCGGACGTAGCGACCCGCACCGACGATGGTTCTTAACGCCATGTTTTGCTGGGCCTGCAGTCGCCGCCTCAGAGGCTCACTCAGAAGCGCGTACCAGGCCGGAGCAGCATAGGTGATGATGGCTCTGATGTAGGTTTTGTAAACACGCACTTTAGTATTAAGTGGTAACTTGGATGCCAGGACCGGACGTAGCATCGCCCGCGCACATCGTGCTCTACGGACGACGAGGTCGACGTGCGCAGTCATGCGCAGCGCCCGGTCGATCCGGCACCCAAGGTAGGTGCATATAGCTAAACTACCGCATATAGCTAAACTGTGCGAAAGATTACTGTTAAGACGTCTCCGCCCGTGCATCCAACTTCGGGCGGAGCAACATGGATTCAGGAGGGGTCACTCAACAGCAACACAGCTGACCATAGTGCTGCACCTGCTTGCGGCCGAACACAACCGTGGCCGCATATCGTTGGGCGTCTTTCTCGATATCGAGAAAGCGTTCGACCGGGTGTGGCACACAGGATTACTCTATAAACTAGATGTGCAAACAAGTATCCCTCCTGCTATATTGCGGCTAGTGGCGTCTTTCCTGGAAGGCAGGAAGTTCTACGTCTGCGTAGAGGACGCCGAGTCCGCAATTAAGACCATAGCAGCTGGTGTGCCACAGGGCAGCTGTCTATCTCCAGCCCTGTACGCGGCGTACACTAATAACATACCCACCCTGGCAGGACACTTGCAAGAATGGGAGGACGACGTCGAACTAGCACTGTTTGCGGATGACAGTGCATACTTCACGTCGTCCAGAAGAGCCAACATAGCAGCTGCCAGGATGCAACGTCTGCTGGACCTGCTGCCACCATGGTTGGATGAGTGGAGGATGGCCGTCAATGTTAGCAAGACGACCGCTCTACTCACTCGCCGCTATAGAAATCTACCACCACCGCTAACCCTCAGAGGCCAGGAGATCGCATATGAGAAGGCCGTGACCTACCTTGGATGTCGGATTGACAGGATGCTGCGTATGACTGCGCACGTTGACTCTGCTATACGCAAAGCTCGATGTGCGCGGGCAATGCTACGTCCTGTCCTGACATCCAAGTTACCGACAAAGTCGAAGATAACCATCTATAAAACTTATATAAGACCCCTGCTAACATACGCTGCTCCGGCCTGGTATGCACTCCTGAGCGATCATCAGAAGCGGCGACTTCAGGCCCAGCAGAATTTGTCATTAAGAACTATAGTCGGTGCGGGTCGCTACGTCCGTAATGACGTTATAGCGGCCAACCTCAAGATAGAGAGCATTCATGAATTCGTGGTCCGGCTGGCGCGCGGTATGTTTGACCGCGCCGACAACGGGCCACATGAACACCTCAACGGCTTCGCGCCGTTGCATGCAAGGCCGCCGGACGGGCGACCTTATCCAAGAGAACTCCTCCCTATATAGATTAGGGAGTCCGAGTAAACCCCTCAATGCCGCAGAAAGGCCAACTTTGACAAATAATTGTGTTATTTAAACACAATTAATAGATAACCTCCCTCTCTTATAAGTTAACCGACTGCGACAATAGTCGTCATAGCAACGCCTTTAACATGAAGGCGCCCAGGACCGGCACATTGTAGTGTGCCGTGAGGAACATCCGGGTAAAGGGGTACACCCCGAGGCCCGAGACCTGCACGGCATTTATGCCCTGCAGAGGACAACAACAACAGGTACTCTGTCATTACTCTGTGATCACTCGTTTTTTTTATATAAGAGAGAACGAGCATACGGCTCACCTGATGGTGATTACCGCGTTCTGCACTGTTTTATAAAGTAAAATATAATTTCGATGGTTATTTAGAAATAATAAAAAAGGCATGTTTAAAAACAATTTATTTTTTAAGCGAGTAGGTACTCAAATAAATAATAAAAAAATAAGCCGTACCTAATAGGACTTCAATTAACGGTAAGCATTTTTAATAACAGAACAAAAGATTGAAATCATGCTATTAAGAGGTTAGAGTAAGTCAGCTCAAATTCTAATTTCGCCTGCACTTCCCCGCGCGTCGTATGCTATGTACCGACATGTTTGTAATCACTAATACTCTAAGTAGATAGGTCGTTAGATACTTATTTCATTAGGTTTATCATATTCATGCCTGTTTCTTAACGCCAACCCAGTCGCTTCTTATTTTTATAACGGTTATTTCCCATTTTAATTTTACGTCTTCCTGTTGCGTAATGTGTTTTCTGATCGTAAGCGACACAACTTTTCCCTTCAAAAGCCGGAGCGATACTAACGGCCTAACGGGGCGACAGGAATCAAGCTTACGCGCCGATAGTTTAGGTAATTTCTTTTTTACAGTGAAAATAATGGTATTTTAAAAAAAAGTAAATAACATAAGCACTGCTTTATAGTTAGTTCAGTTAGTATGCAAAGTTTCATGATCTTATTTAAAGTATTTTATGAATAACAGCGGTTTATTGTTCAGTTTGGAGGTAACTTTGGATTTTTTTTTCTATCGAGAAAATTTTACGGAATCGTGTTTTCGTCTAACATAAACCTTAACATTAATCCTCAACTTTCGGCATAACGGAGGATCTTGCTAAGCCATTTGAGGTTATATTTCCCCTTAATCTAAACAAACTATTAGTTGTTTGGTATGGTTATGAGCGTGGCCTTTTATGCCGATTCTGCCTGATGCACAATTATCAATCATATGGCATAGAAGAAAACTGAATAATCGTACATTGGGTACCATCAACTAAATTCTATTACAATAAATTTTACAATTTTTTTTTACATAAAATAAACACTAATATGTTTATGTTTTTAAAATATGACAGTTTTTCAGTCCCATTGAGAGCTTTCAAATTACAATAAGTTCTTCTTATACAAAGTAAACTCTATCACAACTTTCATTTTTTAAGAAGTACTCTTTCGAACTAAATGTTAACTCAACTTTCTTAACAACATTTTGATGTAGGAGCAATATCTCTGTCGACTTTTTTTGGTTTTACAAATTTAAATGAATTATTAACAGTTTTTAAAAAAAATTATGCAATAAAATGTCTCAACCTCTTCATTTACGACGTTTTCAATAAAACCTACATAAAACTTTCAAGATTTTTTTTCGTAATACTTAACAATCACACTGTCACCTTCTTTATTTTCAACTATTTCGACGGTTTCTTTTTCATTAAAGATTCGTGGCCCTTTTCCTCCTTTAGTTTGAATGTTGTTACATTTCTTATTTTCTTCTGTTCTTTGTACTGTATTTGTGATTACCGTGATCCTGTTTTCTACTTCAACTAATTTTTCCGTTTTCTTGGTTTTGTTTTCTGATTTTATTTGAACTAAATCCACGGTTTGCTTAGTTTTGTTTTCTTCTTCAATGGTATTATTTTCTGCTGTTATAATTCTGTTTTCCTCAATTTGAACTCTGTTTTCGGTTTTCATAGTACGCGTTTCGCTTTCCTGTTCTATTTGGTCCAGTACTTGATCTTGTATTTTCTCGTTTTCGATTATATTTTGCATTATTTCTGATTCATTGTCGTAAAAATATCTCTCAAATTCTTCTAAAAGTTGCTCGTCATCGTCAACACAGTAGTCCGAAGAATCGTGTACGGAAAATATTTCATCGTCAGTGTCTGTAGTATCATTAGAGGCCGGCTCTTTTCTTTTCAATTTTTTTTTATCTGCCTTAGACCTTCCTTTGACGTTGATGTAATTGGATTGTCATAAATATTAATAGTGCTTTTATTATGTTTACTTGTTGATAAAACATAATTTTTTGAAATTTCTTTTAGCTATTTTCCAAAAAAAAATCGTTAAATTCCTAACGCCTCGGTTTTCAGGTAAGAATGTAACGTCGGATAGGATTGTGACTTTATTTTTATTTTTACTTTATCTTTTTCTTCATTTGTGATATTTGGTAAATTTTCTTCTATAAATGAGCAAGTTTTGGATAGAGGTGTTACATTTCGATTTATTTTTGGTATTGTGTTTTTTTCTTCTGATTGCATTAACAAAAGTTTCTGTTATCGAGTTTTTTTTTTTTGGGTCAATCGATTGTTTTGCTTCCGAAGTTTGTCGATTTTTTTGCCTGGTAGTTTTATCCTTTCTTCATATTTAGTTTTTTTGGCGATCCACATTCTGTACATTTTTTCTTTCTCTTTTTATTTTCAGGTCAATGGATTTTTCCTGTTGATTATCACAAGGCCCATCCAAATTTTCATTGACAGGATTTCCTTTTCTCTTTCTTCTTTCTTGTCTCTTATTTTCTCTCCATTTAAGTCTTTGTTTGATAATTTTTTCTTCTACAAGCACTTCTTTTATTTTCTCTCTATACATTCTGTTTCGATTTGCATTTTTTTTAGAACTTCAGAAAACTTTTCAGGATTACTCTGCCACATACAGTCTCTATATGTCTTTTGTTTCTCGGCGGCCGATAACGGAGCCATCTGAAAAGATGAAATAACATACCCATTCACCACGCGATACAATGTTATGATAATAATATACTTTTAGATTAGGTGTTCGAATAGAAACCAGTTAATCCATCTATGTCAACTAATAAAAAGGAAAAAAACTAACAGTTTCTATTGTATATATAGCTACAAAATAAAAATAGAAAAAAGAAAATCAGTTGACCAACAGAGAAGAAAAAGGTCCTGAACTATTTTGTTTTTGCCTATTTAGGTAGGTACATATTTTATAGATTAAAAAAAGGTTATTTTTAGCCCGTTATTTTTCGTGCAGTTAAAAACCTCAAGAGCAGTCAAAATTCATCATTTATTAGGAAAAAAAATAATTGTGTTTATAAAGCAAAATGTTGATTAAATAAAAATCTCTCGTGAATGTAAACTCTGCCTAAAATATGTCCCGAGTGTTACGTAACTCTCTTAGTAACGTTCGGTATCACTCGCGACACAAAAATGCTACGAAGCTAACCTAAAAATCTAGTATCTCAGAAAGAAACGCAGATTATTACCACAATCCAAGCTTGTTTTAAAAAGTTATAAAGTAGCTATGAGCGGAACAGATAAAAATAACGCAAATATGCAATACAAACCTCGAAATTGGTATTTTAACGCCACAAAATAACCGGGACAACTCGTTCAACTCTCTGAAAAGCCGGATCACGTGGACGATTGGAGAAAAATATGTTTTTTTACATTTTGACATAATTAGCATCAGTGCGCCAAAAAATATTTTTCGGCTTTGGATACACACATATTAAGCCAGTATTTAGTAACTCTCTTAGCGTAACGCTTGCGACATAAAATTCCGGTACACATATTTAAGTTTAAATAAAATGTTATAGAAACATAGTTAAAGTAACAAAATACAGCATCATAGCGGAAAACTAGTAATAAATCCATTAAAAGCTGCTTCTTATCACTAGAAGACATTTTTTTTCAACATATTCTATACATAATGCCAAAGAGATGTATTTAGGACATGATATTTTTGTATGGGAACAAAAAAAATGTCAACTTTTTAAAATACACAAAGAAATAGTAAATTGCAAGGTATGACAAATTTAACGTTGATCGCTTTTAAATCATGATTCATATATCAGCAGAGTATTTAATGAGTTATTAACAAATACTTTCTTCGGAAAAAAAACGAATTGTACAATTTTACACGGCCTTACCCTCATACAGATTGTATGAATGGTATCGCGAGTTATGTCGCGATGTGCGATGTTGAAATTTTGCGGCTGGAATTAGTCCGAACAATCCCTCAGAGCGCTCCCCGTGATAGATGCTATAAAATACGCAAAGAGATGCAACATCTCTTCGCAGTGCCAGTGAGTCAAGCCAATCGGAAATGGAAGGAGCTGGCACTGGGGAGCCCCAGCCCAGAGATGGGAACACTTATAATTGTTAAACCACCAGGGCTTTGCACATAGCATGTTTGTAGTGATTTACCTATAGTAATATATTAACATCGCATATACATATTTAAAGGAAAAATTATTAAATACAATATAAAAATACAAAAACAATACAAAAAGTAAATTTTACATTACATTTCAAGTTATGATAGAAGAAAACATCTCTGTGCTGTGACTCTCATATAGGTACTTATGAACTCGAAACGGACATGCAGTAGATAGATTGTATAATTTATTGCAGAAATTTCTTAAATCATTTTTTTCAAATCGGTACGGGTAACCGCCACCTTTTTCTAATTTCTTCCGTCAAATAGCAGTCAATTCGCTGCTGTTCGCATTCCATCTCAGATGAACCTCAGAAGTGAAAACGTAGTATAGTTTTTGGATGTAGAAAAGCTGCCTTCTTTGTAGTTACAGATCGCTTGTCACTCTTATACTAGAAAATAAAATAAAAGTGAATTAAAAAATTAAATTAAATTAAAACCCAAGTTTTCAAATTACAACTAAACCTGAAAATGACCATGATATATAATGAAAGATAATATTCATTTGTTATCAGGAAGATGATGTTGCCTTATCTGATTTAGTTATTTTAGTAATTTCAGTTATTCAATTATTTTTACCGCATAAAGCCAAACAATTCTGCTTCCTTACTTTTTTAAAGCTATTTAAATTTTTGTATGTTTTATTTTATATGGCGATGATTTCAACCTTTAAACTTTATACATATGCTGTTAAAGTATTCGATACATAATAAACTAACACGTCTTCAAATCGACGTCCTTGTGAAACTTATGTTTGTAAACTGCCTCACGATACTGGAGAAAATCCTAGTGTGGAGGTAACGTTTTTTAAAAAAAAACAAAAGAACAAAGTGATAATGAAAAAATATTATTGAGCATTATGCTCAATAATATATGCGTAGATCAGTGCGGCAATAATCGCTGCTACTACGAGTGTGTACGTAAGAAAATTTCAATAACATCCCTATCAGGTACTCTATGGGGGAGACTTGTGTTCACCAGTGAACTTTTGATAGGCTGCAATGAATGAATATAATTAGAGGTTGATCTTTACTAATTGATGTATATGGGAAGGTACACAATTTCTATAATGTAATATTAAACTATGGATTGGACCATGAAATCACTCTAACAAAAATAGAAAGCTATATAGCTCGAAGAAACCACAGCCAATGGGAAAGAAAACGGACAGCCACGTGCCACAAATATTGTCTCCCTTGAATCAATGAAGTAACATGCAATGTGCATATTATACCATTTCGTGATGGATTGGAGCGTCTAAGTTGCTTTAAATCCATTTAGAAACACAAGTGGTAAAATTAAAAATTTTATACAACTGACCTCAATATAAATAAGTTGTAAAATTATAAATTTTGTACAAACTGACTTCAATATAAATAAAATCACTCAATAACATCAATAGAAAACATGATCAATGTATCGACTACAATTCAATTAAGTCAATTAAATACTAATTATTAAGAATAACTCAAAAACTACTGGCCAGATTTTGGTAAAATTTATATATTATATTATAAAATTTATAGGGACCACACGAGAAGCATCACCTTTCAAATAAAAATAGAATCATCAAAATCTGTTCTTCTAGAAAAAAGTTCTGAGGTAACACACGTAATAAAAACATGGAGTCGAATTGAGTATCTCCTTTTTTTTTGGCGGTTAAAAACGTAGCCTACATAAACAATCTGAGAAACAAATGGGAGGAACTGATTAACATATTTCATATAATATTCATATTACAAATATATTGTACAAGCAACATAGGATTATTGAATAAAACTATTATTTACGGATTTTATCGCGTTTAATTACTTTAATTTATTTTTATTATTATCCCGACGTTTCGGGTGCTTTATAGCACCCATGGTCACGGGGGGGGGACTGAGATGTTTGACGTCCCAATGTCATAGTTAGTCCGGCTACCTTCAGTTTTTTTAATATTAATTTTTTTTTGGTCCGATTTACGCATTTAATATTAAACGCAATTAATATTTAAAAAAAACTGAAGGTAGCCGGACTAACTATGACATTGGGACGTCAAACATCTCAGTCCCCCCCGTGACCATGGGTGCTGTAAAGCACCCGAAACGTCGGGATAATAATAAAAATAAATGAAAGGAATTAAACGCGATAAAATCCGTAAATAATAGTTTTATTCAATGTGTAGTGTTCGCGTAAATTTAAGAAATCATAACATATGATTACCTTAAAATGACCCGCTCTTTTACAATGTGTATGCTTCTGAACTAGTCAATAAAAATTGAGGTCATTTTAAACACTTGTAAAATGACACGCCATTAACCTTAAAAAAAGCTGCGTAACGTGTTTTATGAACAATCTATAGTTTTATAGTTAGTTTATTTGTAAAATAAAGTATGACCTGTTTTCTACCGGTGTAGCATTTCTCTTTTATGATCAAATACGTGTTTTCCTTCCTTATACGTCATGTGAACGTAAGTGATTTCTAGAGTAAGAGCACTCATAGTATTTCCACTAAAAACCACAAACGACGAGGCGTCGACGATCAACAAACGAACAGGCGTGTTGGTACTCTTGCCCACGTCAATAATATTATTTTAAGTGGACCGGTTCTGGCGTGGACCGTCCAACCGAGCTTATAGATGCATTCAATTATAGAACCAAAGTGGGATCTATAATTACTAAAGAGCTTAAACTTGCATAGATGGTTTCTGTTTTTAATTCTACTAAATAAATAGCTCTATAAGTGTTTTTTTTTATAA